TCCCATCAGAGTCCACCTGTGTTCTAGAACTTACACCCTGGAGCCCGACTCCCTGGGGATATCATTCTTTCCATTTTTCTCTCTATCTCATTTATTATCAATCTCTCTCTCTACTAGATATATCTCATCAGCACACAAATATGTTCAGTATATCTCAAATTTTTACATCCTCTTTTGATGCCACATCTTTATCTGGTTATAACTCCATTCCTCTGCTTCCCTTCACAGGGAAACTCAAAAGAATTGTCTCCACACACACCCTTCACTTCCTCACCTCTCATTCACTCACTTGCTCTCTTCTTGTCAACATCAGAGATGACCTCCATCTTGCCAAGTCCAATGAGGATTTTACTATCCTGTCTTTCAACCCTCAACAGTATCGCACATGTTTAGTCACTGCCTTCTGCATCTTTCCCTGGCTTCCAAGACAGCACATTCCTGTTTTTCCTCTTCCCTCAGTGGCCACTCTTTCTCAAGCTATTTTCCTGAATCCTTCTTCTCCACCCACCTTTTAAAGAGTAGAGCTCCTTAAGGCTCAGTTCAGAACATCTTCTCTATCCATATTTATTTCCTTAGTTCTCATTTAATCCCATGGCTTCTGATACCTTCTTAGAGCAGTGACTTCAAAATTTACATTTTCTGACTTGAACCTCTCCCCTAAGTCTAGACTCATATAGACAACTACTTAGTCAATATTGACACGTATATTTCAGGCACTTCAAACTTTACCTATCTAAAACAGACCTCTTAATCCCATCTCCCTCTCCCCAAAATACCCAAAATATCTGCCATCTCCATCCCCCATCATCAGAAGTCATGCAGGGTCATTTCCACCTCATTCTATTCATAAAGTCCAGGTCTTTTGCAAGAGGAGGTGAACTACTTGTTCTTTTGTGAAAGGAAGGGTTGCAAAGTCCTGGAAGAGGATGGCATGTGGCCATTTTGAAAATACAGTTTGTCAAGTATGTGACAGAAAAACACAACTAGCAGGAAATGACTGTGATCACTAACAAAGCCAAAACATACCTTCAAGGTCAATGGGACAGGGGCTAGGAGTGAGGGCGAGCTGAAGGGCAAACAGGTCTGGGAAAATCCCAATGCCACACATGAACCAGCTCATGCTGGGGATCTTGCCACAATGTCACCTGATGGGGACTGCAGGACCAGGTAAACTGGGGCATATAAACAGATCAAGTTGTCAAAAACAAAGGACTATTCTTGAGAGTCAGAGCAAATATGGCACCCACCCCTAAGAAACAGGAAAAGCACTTACAGAAAGAGATAAGACCCATGGGCAATCATAGGTTTGAGAAGACATAATCTGAGATTATTACAGACTGCTTTCAGAACTTAAAAAATTTGCAAATTCAAGATGCAATAGAGGTAATAAACAGCAAGCTGGATACTAAATTAACAGAGTTATAAGATGAGAAATTTCTTTGCTATTTATACGGAAAGGATAAAGAAAATTACACAAGGAGTCAATCTGTAAGGGACATAGAGAACAAATGCAGGAAAACACATTTTTTCTAGGAGAGAACAGCAATAATGTCCCTGCAGAAAGGGTCATGTATCAAAAGGATGCAAATTATTTGGGAAAAAGAGGGCCACACATAGGTATACTCTGATGGTCTTGTAAACACTCAAATTAAACTTTGAATTTAAGCACTATAGATGGTGTCAAATGGGTACTAGACTTATCGGGGTGATCACTTTGCAAGGTATATAAATGTCTAACAATTGTGTTGTACACCTGAAACTAGTATAATAATGTATGTCAACTGTAACTGAAAAATAAATTTTAAAAAGACATTTTAAAAAATAAAGACTATGAAAACCCACAAATACGTTGTATTATAAAATGAATTACATTCAAAATGGAAGTAAATTAGATTATCAGAGTTTCCTGTAACACTAATTCACAAAAGGTAAGAGAGTCAAATAATGGCTCTCAATTATGAAAAATTAGAAAGGTAACTTGATAATGTGGCTGGTTACAAAATAAATTATCAAGTGTAGAGATCTTTTCCTGTTCTAGGCAATATGGCAAAGTCAACTCAATTCTGAAATATGCTGGGAAGTGAGAGGGAAATTGGGGACTCCAGGGACTAACATGAAGCCATAGAGAAATCCTTGGGGAGATACAAGGTCGTTGGGTCTTGGCTGTAGATTGGACAGAAGAGGGCTGGGAGCCACCAAAGGGTGCAGGATTGGTTACTGCTGTGTAGTGTTAGCCCTTTTTGTGACTCCACCTTTGGGCAGGTCAGTGCTTACCTAATATTACTCCAGTGGGACAAGAAGAGTCAGCCTCAGCCCAGTGCCAACTACGCCAGCAGGAGGTGATGGGTCAGCTCCATGGCAATGTCATGGGCTAGCTGAGGTGACACTGAGGAGAGCAAGAGCAGGTGTGCTGGCCAGCTGCTAAGACTGTGCTCCTCACTCAGACCCCTGTGTAACACTACGTGTTCCTGTCTGTACAAAGAACCAGTCATGTTTCCGGGGAAACAAAGGTGAACACACTCATCATTTTCTCACCAATAAATCCCGAGAGCCTGTCATCTAGCATTTTTCTTTACCCAACTCAGGATGTCTGCTTGACTGTATCTGTGGCAAAGAATGTGTTCTGAGAGATGTTTGCTGTTCACCCATAATGTGCTGTTTCACTTAATTAAGTGGAAACAAGGTGTCTTCCCGCCAAGGTGCTCACACTATCTACCATCACACCACACACACACACACACACACACACACACACACACCACCACCACCATCACCATCACCACCATCATGCTACACCTGTACCACAGACATACCACACCACACACACATCAACACACACCACGCACACACATCACCATCATCACTACCCCTACCCTACACCATGCTACACATATGCCACACACACATGTAGTATGCATAACATACTACACATCCCACACCCCACACACCCTCCATACCATTCCACACATATATAATATATACACACAAAAAACACCACCCTGATATATCTCTCTCTCTCTCTCTCTCTCTCTCTCTCTCTCTCTCTCTCTCTCTCACACACACACACACACACGCACAACACAACACATTCTCATTTGAAGATTTTATTTGTCTTCTCCAACATTTTCAGGCTAGTGTATAATCCTGGGATCAGTGAACATTCACTCATATTTGTAAACTAGAATGAAGAAAGGGTTTTAGCTGAATGCAAGAGGAAAAGTGTGTTGCCAGGAAGTCGCTGTTGCTTCTGCTTATGTTGCTTAGGAAGCAAAAGGCTGCCCCTTCCTGCCGTGGAATGATTCAGTGCCTCCCTGAGTCACTACTCCCCGCCACCACATACACGCTTTTAGAATCATTCCCTCTCACATCCTGCTGCAAAATATTTCTGAAGACTGAGCCATCCCTCCCTTTTAATATGTCCATCAAGTCAGCTTGCTTAATTGCAATGCTTTGTTAATAATTTTTCCAGGATGTCACCCTCCCACTGGCCCAGAGGAGACAGAAGAAGATGGATGTGTTTGACTTGGAGTGGAAAGGAGCAAGGTGGACAATCTTCTCACTCTGGCATTTGCCCATGAACTTCTCTCATGCCCACAAGAATCATGGAGGGTTCTGTCTGTGTTCCAAGTCCCTGTTGAAAGGTCTCCAAGGCAATTGTGCTGGCCGGACCCAGTGCCTCTGTGAGGATTTGGGTCTCCAGTAGAAGGGTTTAAGAGGCCAACTGGAGGAAGCTCAGCCTCAGAGTTGGCTGGGTCATTCAGGAAACAGCATAGATGCCAGAGCTGGCAGGAAAGTGTTTCCCTTTGACCTCTGACCCACCACACCCAGGTCTTAACCAGAATTAATCTGACCTCTGAGTTACCCCTAAAACTATCTCAAGGAGTGAGAAAGAGGAGGGATGGAGAGCAGCATAGTATTTAGTCAATAAAGCCTTTAGGCTTTATTGCTTGGGAATGTCATCCAAGAGGTAAGCATTTAGGAATACTGAGAACCCCAAATTGTGCTTTAGCCTTCATTCACTTGGCTAGGCCCCAGTATGATTTTCCTAAGCCTTGTATTTGGAATGATGAAGCCATTTTTCAGTGGGAGTAATATCATACATTAGGGTCAAGCTCTAAGGATACTCAGAAAAGCCTGTGTGATTCATGACATTTGTTAGCTTAGGGGCTGACTCTTGGAATAAAACTGGCCAGCCACATAGGCTATCACAGAATGAGAGCAGGTCCATCCAGTGTGGAAGCCCACCGTGGTCTGGGTTCTTATCCAAACTCTTATCCTTGCAGGGAGACATTGGGCCTAAAATTGGGACAATAATAGTATCTACCCTTCTTATGCAGATCAAATGAGATAGTACAAGTAAAATGGTTAGCACTGCTCTTAATGCACTGTAAATAAATAAGTGCTAGCTTTTACTATTCAACAAGTACTGATTGAGCACAGCCAGGCTCAGTGCTGGATGCTGGGATATAGTGCCAGTGAAGACGAAACACACGAACTTCCTTCCTCTGCTCTGCTGCCTCCCAGGCCTTGTGTGAAGGGACGTCTGGATGGCCTGGGTCCAGCAGAGTGGACCAGAACACTTAAGGGGTGAGGCAAGCTCCTGGACACCTCCCCATCTCATACTTGCTCCCCATCACTTCCTGCTCAGGGCTTCGGGACACATCTCACCTCCCTGTTGCTTCAACTAGGCCCCCCTCTCCCTTGTCAGGTGATTGCCAAGTTGAACACAGTTTCCTGCCTCCCCTCACCTCCCTGTCTCTGGCAGACAGTTTTCAAGGGATGTTTTTCTGCTTGGCCACAATGGAAAGGGCGCACTCCCGGGCTCATGGGAGCCTTCTCCTCACTCCCCTCACCCCTGCCAAACTGCAGAGGGAAAGACACTGGTGTATGTCAGTGACAGTGTTCTCGCCTTATGTGCAGGGGAAAAGCACAAGCTCATGAAGATAGTTATTGCCCATAGCCATTTATCTGAATGAGTCAAGGACATTTCTGGCACTCACCTTAGAAATTTCAATTCAGTAGGTCTTCAGCGAGGCCCAAAAAGAAGCATTTTCCAAAATTCTCATGATCAGACATATTCCAATAGCAACAAAGGGACACACAGCTCCCTGGGATCACTGGCCACTGCAGTCCAAGAGCACCACCTAGACATCTGGGCGGACAGAGTACAAAGTCTCAGGAGAAGGGGGACCAAGCACAGCTTTGACAGGCTCCCTTCCCAACCATTCCTCTTGTCACTGCCACCAGTGAGAGGGGACAGCAGAAAAGATGGCAGATCACCTTAAGCAAGAGGTGGGGTGGGTGAGGGGGACAAAAAAAGAGGAAATCCCACTGCTCATGGGGAGGGTGGAGAATTCCTTTGATCACAGGGCCACCCCAGCCATTCTCAAGATCCCAAGTGACCTCAGTCCTCTCAGGAGAGCCTGTGACTCAATTTACATAGAGAAGGCCTGTGTGTTGGAAACTGCTGTAAAATATTTTTTTAGTCAAAAGCTCTGCCCGCCTCTTTTATTTTTAAAGTCACAGGACCCCCAACCCTCCCGGCAAATCTCAAGGGAGACAAGTTAACTGCTGAAGGATGAATTCTGTGCCCTGGCTGCTCCACTTGTTGAACCTGCAGCTGACCCTCTGTGGGACTGGGATGTTGCTATTGCCCTGGGGACAGTCATGGGGCTGCAACTCCCAGCAGGTGTGTCAGAGTGGCAGTAAGAGTCAGAAAAAGACAGAGCTTTGTACAGAGCCTCTTCTTGGACCTCGAAGCTGATCCAAGCTACATGATTATGAAAAGTTATTAACTGATATTCAGTTACAGGCTCATGGGCTGAACAAAGAATGAGGCCCATTCCAGCCGAAAACCATATGGTCTTGTAGGCTGCGCACACCTGCGAGAGAACAGGCAGGCCTGGTTAGAAACCGTCATCAGTTCTAGGCAAGCCATAAAGTTTGGACTTGCTTCATGGCACTTTCTAATTAGCTGCACAGTGAGTTTTCTCCACTTCCTTATAAAGGCCTGTGCCCCCTCCTCCACCCCTGTCTGTCTCCCACGGCCCAGGACATCTGGGAGAATGTTCCCACCAGACTCTCAGCCCTCAGTCAGACCGTGGAAGACACTGTAAACAGGAAAATAACCAAATACCTCTGGATCCAAAGCAAAAACGAAGAGGAGACTCTTAGGAGGTTATCATGAGGAAATAATGGCAAAGGGAAAAAGCATAGTTAGTGCTTTCATTTAACAGCAAGTCACAACAGCATTCATATTGATTAAATGTAAACAACAACAACAACAAAAAACGGTTAAATCAATTATATAATATTCATCCAATGGAATGGGTAAGCAAAAACTAGAAAGATAAATATAAACGCTATGTGATGCTTGGGAAAAGGCTTACCATATAATGTTCAGTTTAAAAAAAAAGTGGATGCAAAAATGTATCTCTGCTATAATTACACTGGTAAAGTTATATATTCATATGGCCTGAGTAGATTAAGGTGATGAAAAGCTGAACACAGCTTGGCTGATTGTGGTGGTAGGATTGTGGAGGGTTTTTCCTGCCTTTTACTTAGAATTTTGTTCATGCTTTTGTCATGTTTGCATAACGTACAGTTACAAATAAAATGAAAATGAAAATAAAGTCATGAATATTGTTTTTAAAAGCTGGGGAGGGGTGGGAGAGAAAAACAGACAGCGTGGTATCAGAGCCAAACCTAGGCCAGCATTTCCCAGAAAGCAGCCACATGGAGTGACTTTTGTGAAGAAGGAGAATTCATTTCCACCACTACTCAACCCCATAAGAAAGAAGAAGAAAAATGAAGTCTTAGATGGGAGCAGAGGTTTCCACTGGCTTCTCTGACGGTAGAGAACCTGAAGTCACTGGTTGGCAGTTACCAGGGTGAGGCTCTGCCTGGGTTTGCTCCATGGAACCTATGTGACATGAGCTTGTCCAGGAGATAAATGTCAGCCAGGCGCAAAATGAGGCTCGCAGTGCCTGGGCAGATGCATGTGCCCCAACAGCTGCACACACAATGGCAGGGGGAGATTTGTGAAGAATTTCTAGGACGCGGCACTCGGTTTTCTCCCAGCCTGGGTACTCCCTGCTCTGGGGCTGGCTCCCAAGGCTTTACCAGAAGACTTGGCCACAAGCCACCTGACTAGCAGAATGGTAAAGGGGGCTGTGCCCAGGGCGCAGTCCACACTATGCTTTGCAAAAGGAATTATCTTATAGGAACTCAGAATTTTATTCTTGGTCAAATACACATTTCTACTGTCTGTGGATTCATAGCCATCCAGAGAGAGTCAGGGCCAGTCCCTTCTCCTACTAAACTCAAGGATTGAATGAAGCTTCATATTTAAAATTCAAGAGACTCATCTAGGCTGGGTTTTCCTTCTTTATCACCCTGGGGGTGAGAGTAGCACAGGGAGGAAGTGATTATGCATTCAGAGGAGGAGGATGAAGTGTGTGGGAAGGGTCAGGGGAAAGAGTCCCCGTGTGAGCTTTGGAGGATGAGACAAGCTTACAAAATATCTCATCTTCCAGTCCCAGCAGGGAGGTGGCTACATTGCATATTTCCAGTTAAGGGAAACACAGAAATGTTCAAGAAACAGCCTGCAACAATCAGGGTTATAATTCCTGGCTGCAGCCAACGGAAGGGAGGGTGCAGGAGGCTAATGAGGCAGTTGGTGAACGCAGCTGGGAGCCTGGAGTCGCGAGTCGCTGATAAACACAACATAAATGTTTTAAGGGCCAGGCTGCACGGCACACAGCTTTGATACCTGAGGAGCACTGACTGGCCCTTTGGAGGAATCAACTCAAGGCTTGTAAAATACACCTGTGATTCTCGCACGGATTTTTTTTTCCCCCTCGAGGCAAATGTGCTTAGTGCCTCCTCACTGCCCTGCACTCTGTAACTGCCATTTGCATGTCGGGTTTTTTTGTTTTTTTTTTTTTAGGAATTGGCCTCTTGGTGCATCAGAGACGCTTTAGAGACGGTAAAAATTGTTTTACCAGTGGCTGTATCCGGGTTCCTCAAGGGTGATATTGAACCTGGAGGGCTGTTAACACTCCCTGGACAAATAAATCTAAGAGATAAAAGTCTTTCTTAAGCCCTAAAGGATTCTCTGCTTTCAAGCATCTTCGATATTTTTAAAAAGCCTGTCCCTTGTTTTCTTGTCATGGCATTTATCTTTGTGTGTCAGCAGACAGATGGGACATATGATCTGCATGGGGATTTCACCGGAAGTGGGTCCAAAAGAAGACATCCTGAGTTCCGAATATGTTGTTCTCTCCTGCCTTTTGGTCAAATCTTCCCAAACTCTTGCAACTTACAGCTGAGCACCATGAAGAAGAAAAAAAAAAAAGAAAAAATCTAGGAAAATCAAAAGTAAAACACAATAGATCTTATTGATTTATCCTTATTATTTATCCTTTCTCAAATGGAGAGTGAGTCCTACACTTGAGAACATTAAATCATACAAAAGAAACAGGTGACCTTAGGACAGTCACAGATGTCATGGCATTCAGAAAATACTCCTAGCCTTTGGTTGAAAAGCTCTGCCCCCTATTTGCAAATATCCAACTCCTACCTCTTCCTCCAAGGTCAACTACTAATGTCCCTTCCTCCAAAAAGCTTTCCCAGATCTTCCAGTTCCACAGGCGTGAGAGGTGTCATAGTATCCTGGGTAAGAGCACAGACCTGAGAGCAGACATCCTATACTCACGTCTCAACAAATCCACTTGTATCTGTGCAACCACGGGCAAGCTGCTCTGTCTCTCTGTGTCCCAGTCGCTTCACCTAAAAAATGGGGATACAAATAGCACCTACTTCATAGTTGTTGTTGTTTTAATTAAATATGTCAATACATATGAAGCTCTTACAAGAGTGCCTTGGATATAGTAATCACTCAGTAAGTATTAACTACTATTATTACCCTCTTATTATCTTTTTAAATTTTTTCACAGGGTTATCTTGATGTGGCACATCCATTTCTGTGGGGGCTTTTTTGGCCTCGGATTCTTCTTATTTGAACCATATTTTCTGTCCCGTCATAAAGGATTTGAATGCTGTCTTTTTCTTTTTTTTTTTCCCCTTACAGTCACTTAGTAGAAAAAAGGGATTGACTATTATGTGAATGAATAATGAAAGACAGAAACACGAGAGCAAATCACAATATTGTGCCAAGCTAAGAGGCCTCCCTACCTGCTGGGATCACAGTGTAGACAAGGGAAAGTAAAAGAGATATCGGAGGTGTTGACTAATGAGGAGAGAAGGGCAAGAACAGAGAGGGAAAAACCCTCAATGAAAAGATGTGTGGAAAGGAGGGTGCCAGAGTCAGAGGTGTGTGTGTGTGTGTGTGTGTGTGTGTGTGTGTGTGTGTGTGTATGTAATATGTATTCTTTCAAATATTCATATAACATATATGTACTGAACTCTTACCATGTGCTAATAAACCCAGTGCTAGAAACAGGGTGAGGGGTTGGGGCAATGGTGGGAAAAAAAATCCAACAATTTAGTGGTTCCCAGAGCATAAGGGGGGAGGGAGATGGAAGAAAAGAGGAAAGGGGGGGTCAAATATAAGGTGATGGAAAGAGAACTAACTGACTCTGGATGGTGAGCACACAATGTCATATATAGATAATGTATTACGGAATTGTACACTTGAAGCCTATGTAATTTTACTAACCATTGTCACCCCAATTAATAAAAGAAAAAAAAAGAAAGAAAGGAAAAAAAATTCATCAAGACTCTAACCTCAGGAAGCATTGTGATTTGGGGGAATAAAAATTGCCTTTGGCACCCAAGTACCCACATCCTCTGTGTTATCCCAGGCACTGCCCTCCACCCTGCCCAGTTCCTTCCAAAGCAGCTCTACTTTTGTCAAGGGGAGAGAAGAACAAGTCCATGGTCCCCTGCACTGCCCACTAGTACCCTCTTGGTGACACTTGCTGCCCCCCTCAACCTCTACTCCCTACCGCCCTCTGCCCTCTGGGAGCCACTCCCTAGCCCTGTGTGCTGTGCAGTTTGCCTGTGAGCCTCCTTGTCTGACATTGCCCCCTCCCCGTACCCTCCCCCCTCCGTCCCCGTGCTGCAGCAAGAATGAGCACTCCCACGTGAGGGGCGTCTGGCCTGCTCTCCCTCTGTGCCCATTGGGGAGGTTCCCTGCACGCTGAACCACTCTAGAAGCTAGGATTTAAACACATCAACCCACGCGGGTATGCACATCTGCCAACGCTTCAGGAATGGACTGGACACCAAGTGTTAGAGCCAATGAGAACACCAAAATCAACCCAACATTGAGCCTGAAGGGGTTCAGAGCACATCACCCCAGAATATGCCACTCTGGCTTAAGGATTATTTTGATCTGAAGGCAACTGAATAGAAGCAGACGCAAGAAAAATTCTCACCTTCCCCCCTCTCTATCAGGAAGAGTAGGACAGTTGTTAAACACCAGCCGCTTATCAGCCCAGAGATGGACCAGAGGCAGCTGTATAACAAACCGCACTAAAACAACCTTTGTCTTCCATTAGTTTCCCTCATATATTTACCTTCCCATAGTTTGCTGTACCTAAAAGCCCAAAGCCCTCTTCGTTGGTCTTGTCACTTCTCTACAAAGATGCTATAAAAGCCCAAGTACCTTTGAGCTGCTATCACTGAGCTCTCCCATGTGTATACTCTGACGCACGTGTTAATAAACTTCTGGTTGTTTTTCTCCTGCGAATCTATATGCGGAGTTTCAACCACTGAAACTAAGGTGGAAAGGGGGAGGAAAGGATCCTTTTTGCTCGCCTACAAGCCCCTCACTTTAGAAATGTGAAAAAGGGTGGGCAGGGATACAGGACCTGCCACGCATCATACAGCAGGTTTGTTAGAAAGCTAAGGATGGCAGATAGGCTCTTTGCATTCTGTTATCCTATGGGAAATGCAACCTCCAAAATCAGATACTGCTGCTTTCTTCTCTCTGATCCCATTCCCATATTAAAATTATATTGGCTATTAACAAGTAGACTGTCAAGAGCACTTAGAAATTATGTTGACCACGGCTCATAGGAAGAAATACATTTTTTATCATAACCCAGTACACATTCCTATATGGAGCTGAATCCAAGTGTTCATTATAGAATACTTACACTTAGTAACTGTGATGTGCAATGGTGTTTCCTAGTGTTTGGTTGGATTCACTAAATTGAATCCATGACAGACAATTTGGAAAACATTATCTCAGGAAGTGTCTTTGTGTGGGAATCACACAAAAGCAGACACTGAGGAGAGGACCTGTGAGAAGGAAACTAATCAGGAGGTGAGACCAGGAAATACACCTGAGGGGGTGGGGAAATGCAGAGGAGAGAGAGAAAAGCCACAGGTCACTTCCATAGGCAAACTGAAACTGGGGCTCAATCCCACGAGAATCCACTGAGAAACGTTTAGAATGCATCCCAGAATGATCCCAGCAGAGTCAGGGAGCCTGGGGTACTTATCCTTGGACTCCATTGGCTCATTGTTGAAGATTTCCCCCGGGGAATATTAAATCCATAAGAATTCTGTACAGTTCCGGGAGGGCTGAGAAGCACCCTTGGTGCCACAGGAAGCCATCAGGCAGAAAGAAGCTGAGAAAAAGAGAGGGTCTAGATGCTTGAGGTGGGAAGGTATCCATGTGCAGGAAACATTCCACTTCGGCTACCGGTGAGCTTGGAAGTCAGTGTGGTGAGCTTAGAAGCGAGTGTAGGGGACATGGAGTGGGGCATCACAGCATCTGCTACAGGAAGTAGCATGCTGTCCGAGGCTATTGTGCCCTCCCCATAAATCACCTTGACTGCATTTCAAAATGAAAAAGCCAGAGAGCGCCAAGTTAGTAGGAAAGAAAGGGTTAAAGAAGAGAGATGCTGTTAGAGTCAGACCCAGAGAAAATGCAAAGCAGGCCCCTCTCATTTTTCATTGAATTGTAATATTGCTGACATAAAGAAAAGGCGAGGAGAAAATTAACCGCAATCTGTAATCAAACTGTGTAGAATATTGTTGCTGGAAGTGTTATGATCTGAATGTCTCTGACAATAAGTCCAGACTTTAGTCGTTTAAGATTTCACCGAGAGATTTTTCTTTCTCCACTTTGGATTTTCTATGCACACTCCAGCGATGGATGTCCAACATCTAGCCACCTCCATGATGCCTGGGCCTGCAGAATGGCTCAAGCAGCCACACAGAAGGCACTGCTATATTTACAATCTAAAAGGAGTTTGCGGTCTTTGAGGTTGAAAGGCTTTGTGTAACTATTAATTGTCATCATAATACAAATATGTCTGGAGACACAAGTCCAAGGGGAAAGCGGGTTTTCACCAAGGACGAAGCCCTCACCTTCACTGATCAAACACACATTTCCGATTTCCCAGCCTGGCACGTTCCCAGCCCGGCATGTGTGGTCCATCTGGAACACAGGGTCAGTGTGGGCAGGCAAGCTCCAGGGCTGCTGGGGAAAGAGGCCTGGACATTAGGCACGCTTCTGCCCACAGCTATGTGACCTTAGACAAGTGGCTTAACTCTCCGAACTTCCCTCCAAATTGTAAAAGCTCTTTGAAGAGCAAGAAAGGGCTGTGTCATAGTCCTGATAAGGAATCAAATGCAGAGAATTCCATCTTCTCTTCTTTGTGTCACCTGGGATGTCTCCCTTTGGTCACTGCCTTGACCTGTCCATTCCATCTTCAGATGCATACACTATACAAATAAAAGCAAACATTGGGAAGCGTCAGAGTTTATTCAAAGGGAATTCTCTTTAATCTGTTTTGCTTTAAGCTCCCTATCAGATCTGAACAAACGGATACACTCCCTTTTATCCTTACTTCTATCATCACTGCCGTCCTTTACTAACATAGCACCCTTACTGAATATCTACAGTGTGCAAAGCATTCTGCTAAGCAATCAGTGGGTATTCTAGGGCTCATAGTTATGGTTCTCAAGAGGAATTTATTGACAAACTGAAATAGTACATGTAAATAGAGACATAACAACATGAGGTATCATGCGCTAAGGATGAGATGAGTGGAATGAAAGTGGGTGCAAGTTAGAAATGCCCTCCTTGTATGTAAGGCTTTGAACCCCATTTCCCTTCACATCCTTAGGAACCACACCCAATGAACTCTCCCTTCTCTTTCCGATACATACAACCAGTTCCTCTCACTGGATACTCTCCATCAGATCTTTAAGAGGCTTAAGTCTTTTCCATTGAAAACAAAATCCTCACTGAGCTCCTTCTCGTCCCTCCAACTACCACCGTTTTCAGACTAACATCTCACGAGGGTCACCCACATGCACTCTCTTTATTCCTGCCCTTCTCACTCATGCCTTAGGCCCTTCCAACCTGACTGACACCCTGAAACAGCTGTCATCCAGGTTAGCAGTGACCCCCACGTTACAGAACCAAGAGCATTTTACAGTCCTGATCCTTCTTGACGTCTCTTCAGCTTTTGACACTCGTGCTCACTGTCCCCTTACATTCTTAAGCTTTTCTATTGATATAGAATGTAATACATAAATATGAACAAAAAAGCATGACTATAAATGTTTACAGAGTGAATACACTCTTATAGCCACCATTTGGATAAACTGAACATCACCAGTATCCTAGAAGTCCCCAGCCCGCTTACTGAGAGGTAACCACCAGTAGCAGATGCTGGCAAGTGTCACTCAGAACCTCTCCAGGTCTGGAACATTCATTCTCCCCAACTACTGGGAGTGCCGGTAGCCGACAACTCTCCTAGTCTCCCTCCGCGACTTCATCAGGATGAGGGGTGCATTACCCTCGTTCCCACGCCCTCCTGAGGGCGTCCCTTATCCAGTGACTGGTGGACGAAGGAATAGAAAAGGTCTGACCCTTCATTCCAATTCAGTACAACCCTGAAGGGCCGGAGCAGCTGCAGAGCTCGCCTTCAGTTAGCGGAAGCCTTTGTTGTGACTTCATCACAGCTCACCTTATCCTTCTGCCCTTTCCAGCTGCCTTCATTTCTTCACACGTGTTGACCCCCAGAGCACTCCCCAGCAAGCTTCCTGCACACACATCTCTGCTTCCTGGGGAACCCAAGCTATGATGCCACTGACCAAACTTCTAACATCGTGGATTGTTCCACATAATTTTGAGCTTTATAATAAATTCAATCATATAAGCTGTATACTTTTGAGTCGGGTTTTTTATTCAATATTATGTGCGTGGGGTTTACATACATCAATGTATGCAACAGTAATTCGCTCTTTTTAAAAAAAAATATGTATACATATACATATACATATGTATATATATTTTTTAAAATTTTATTGGGGAGCAGTATGCTTTTCCAGGCAGCTCCAAGTCAAGTAGTTGTTTCAATCTAGTTGTGGAGGGTGTTTTTTCCAGGACCCATGAGCTCCAGGTCAAGTAGTTGTCACAATCTAGTTGTGGAGGGTGCAGCTCAATGGGCCATGGAGGGATTAAACCGGCAACCTTGGTGTCATGAGCACTGCGTTCTAATGAACTGAGCTAACTGGCTGCCCCAATAGTTTGCTCTTTTTAACGGTGGTATAGCATTCCTTAAATAAATGCACCAGAGTATATTTACATGTTTACTGTTGGCATTTTAGGTCTTTTCTAATTTGGGGTTCTTATGAATAATGCTGCAGTGAACATTTGTGGACATATTGTTTGGTGCACATGTGTAAGAATTTCTGTTGGGTATATACCTAGAAGTGTAATTTTTATTACATAGGTAGGTTTATATTCAGTTCTCTGGGGTATTGCTAGGGAGTGTATAGAGTATTTGTGCCAGTTTATACTCCAGTTAGCAGAGCATAAGAGTTCCAGTTGGATTTGCCATCTGCACGTCTACAGAAAAATTTTGCTGATTCCTGATCTAAGCCAAAGAATGAGAAGTACAAAAAAGAAAAGTCCTAAGACAGAAAAGCACCTGATATGTCTTTAAGGACAGATAACAACACCAGTTTGTCTAGACAGAGGAGGCTGGGTAGAAAAGTATGGTTTATATCAGAGATCAGCAAAGCTTTCTGAAAAGGGCCAGCCAGAGAGTAGCCTGAGACTTTGTAGGTCTTATGGTCTCTGCTGCAGGCCACAGGCAAAGAGTAAAACATGAAAAGGGATATGTGCCAGTAAAACTTTATTTGGGGACACTGAAATTTGAATTTTATATCATTTTTGCATTGTCACAAAATATTACTCTTCTGTTTATTTTTTTCCAACGATTAAAAATTATCAAAACTATTTTTATCTCATGAGGTAAACAAGAAGAGGGAGTGAGCCAGATAGGGCCTACAGGCCATGCATGGCTTGTTGACCCTTTTTGTAGATTGTGGAGACCTAAATAAAAAATCTGAACTTCACTTGGCAATCAAAATATTTAGAATTTTTGAGGAAGGATAAGATGTATACCAAGGAAGGACAACTGAGGTGCTAGCAGCATTGGAGCTGGCGTGGAGTGGGACCACCAGTTAGGAGGTGGCCTCGACAGACTTAGCAAAGACTAATGAGGATCTGTTACTCATGGGGACTGAGAGGGTGGAATGAAATAGATGGAGTGTGTGCAGGAAGGTATGAGGGAGAAGAAAAGGATTTGATGCCTGGTGAGAGAGAAAAAGGAAGAATCAGTGTCTGACACCAGGGTTTTGAGCACGGAAGGCTAGACGAATGAGAGTCTGATGTTAAATGGCAGAAAGGCAGTAAGGCTCAGTATTTAGGGCATGGGCAATGGAGTCAAAAATGCTTGAGTCTAAAACCTGGCTTTTAAACCTATTAGCTATAATCTCTGTTTCCTCTTCTAAAACAGGATTAATAATAACACCTACTTCTTGAGATTGTTACTGAGAATGGAATGAGTTAATAGATATATAGTGCTTAGAACAGTGCCTGGCATACACTAACAAGTGCTAGCTTTTGTTATTAATCATATAGCCTCATTTTTAAAATAACACAATAAAAATTGTAAAGATAGGAAACAAGTTTAAGGGGAAAAGTGATATCAGGCTTTAGATGAGTGAATTTCAGCTCAGCCTGGGCAGCCACAAGACAGAACATGGAGAAAGGAAGTTCAGAAAGGTCAACCTTGTGTGTTCATACAGAGAGCAACCTGATTCCATGGGAGCAGACGAGAATGCTGGAAGGTCAGAGACATGGCTATAAAAATCACACACTTGGTCAAGACCTTAAGCCCTGGTTAAATCTCTTCTCTGTCTCTTTTAGTAGCTATGAACCCTTGGCTGGGTTACTTAACATCTCTATAACTTAGTTTTCCCATCTGTAAAATGAGTATAACCATAGTACTCACTACATGGAGTGGTTGTGAAGGTGGTTGTAAAGCTTATAAAAAGTAAATGTGAGGCCCAAACAGAATCTACCACAACATGAGCATTCAATAAATGTTAGCCTTTATTATTAGGACTATGCATATGGAAACAAGAAAACAGGGATGCACCAGGTAAGGCAGGCTCAAAAGGCACAAGGAAATTCACCCAGGGAGATAGTCCTTGCAGGACATTTCTCCCTCCATCTTTACTGCACTGCATCAGGATGAGGAAGAATGATTTTATAAGAACATGTTTGACTCTTTTAAGATCAATGGTAAAATCCCCCCAACTTTCCATTTAAATGCAGTCGACCTAAATCTGCTGGATGACAATGTCTTTAAGGAACAACCCTTGGTGCTCTTCAAGTGGCATTGATGGAGCTGGCTGAAAAATCCTCTGACTTACACAGATCTCCTCCTTAGTGAAGCTCGCATAAGATCCCCAAGTTGCTCCTTTTCAGTGCAGGTGGAGGGGCTACTGTCATTTCAGAGAAAACACGGGCTCCGCCTCCAGCTCTCACATTTAGCTCTGTCAGGATCTTACACTACAAAGTTGCTCATCTACTAATCCACAGTGACTGAGGGTTATTTCTTTGTAAGCTTCTTAATTTGCTGTTTAGAAAATTACTTTGGGTGGAGGCAATTAGTGTTGCATACTTGAGAGGAGAAAATTGCAGCCTAGCCCGCTCTGACTGCATGGGTCAGGGATTTCCTCAGCACCCTTTTCAGTCCTTCCCTTTTCTTTTTTTCTTAGCCCTTATTCAAACAATCTGGTCTCTTAAAAGTTCTGAGATAATATCCTGGTGCCATATTTAAAATTCATCAAAGCAACACTTGGGGAAGGAGAAGAGCTTGGGTGTGAGGAATATAGATGACAATCCTCCCAAACAGAATTGGCTTCAAGAAGGTTTTCCATGTCCTTCCTAACTGGTAAACTCCGTGTATGGGTTTTTGAGGTGTGTGTGTGTGTGTGTGTGTGTGTGTGTGTGTGTTGAAGTGGGGTAGGTATGGGGGTACCTGGGCAGGGAGAGAAGATTGACTTAGAAAACCTTCTTTTAAGTTTTTCTTAGTAATCATAGCCTCTCTAATATTCTTAGTCATTTCTGGAAAAGTCACAGCAGAAATCTCTGCTGGGCCAGCCAAGTAAAACTCACTGACAGGGAAGCCAAAGGAACGCAGTCAGTCTTAGTTGGAAGCCACCAGGAAGGTACTTTAGGCCCTAGAGGAGTCAGTATCTGCCTTCTCTGTTACTTGTAGAAGTAACAGTACTAGCTAGAACCTGCCTCTGCCCCTAGTATCTGACCACTGCAATCACACATACACCATGA